CAGTGTTTAATAAGAACTAGTAGATGTTATGATAAATAATTTTGAAAGTACAATGATGTAGTAAGAAAGTCACATCATTATAGTACATGTGGACAACCTACGTGGATAATGAGGTGGCATGGAAACCTAGTATAATAGGTAAATTTAAATCAAAAAGTTACCCAATGCTATAATGGGTAAATTTTTCAAAATACAATATCTTAATAAAAAATAGTTTGAAAGTACATTGATGTAATAAAAAATATGAACGTGGTTTCCATTAAAATGGATTTCAAGATATTCAAATAGTTTTCATATAATTTATCTTTTCATCAGTTTTGCAAGTCTAACCAAACCTTCATTATTCATTTCTATGCCACTATGTATGTTAGGTTCTTCACGGATTCCAATTATCAATTTATCATGCATATGCTAGTTTCCTTTCAAACCAACATTATTTCGTTAAGCGTAGACGATGATATGACGGAGCTGAGAATCAAACCAGTTGTGTAAATGTACTGAGACCAACCGTGTAAATGTGCATACAACTCAAATGGCTCACAGTGTCACATACGGTCGTATCAAGTAGGGGTGTTCATGGGTTGGATTGATCGGGTTAAAGACATTTGAACAACTCAATCTAATGCTTGCAATTTGGAAAAATCTTAACCCAACCCAACCTAAACCAAAGTGCAATCCAACCCAACCCAACCAGTACGGGTTGGTCGGGTTGATACTTTGGTATATTAAAATATTCTTCTATCTTTGAATATGTAATTTCTTTACTCATAATTTATTTTTCATCATCAATCATTTGATACAACTTATTCATATTTTTTACGTATATCACATTCAGTTAATTTTCTCAATTTACACATATATGTTCACAGTTACAGAACATATATATGAATGAGTTATATAGAGATAGGAATAGATTGAAAATATGTGTATATGAAAAGCATACATAATATCAACCAAATACCTACGGTATGACAATTTTACAACTCGATTAGACATCGGGTTGAGTTATTTCGCGTTGGGTTAGGTTGATTGGGTTTTTGAACACCCCTAGTACCAAGTGGTCAAGAATACTAAATGATATGTAACTCGTATTGTTTCTGGTGTGCAACAATATTATCAATCCATTTGCGGTTTAGACGCAACAAGTATCAAACACTTTTTACACGATATACTTATTTTCATTAACGAAACTGTATTGATTCAGTAATGAAAATTACTAATAAAACATAACTATTTATCTGTTGGTTCACCATTGAACCTGAATCCATTCACTAATGAAACATAACTATATATTGTTGAATATGTAATGAACCAATCAAATCCATGTTCTTGTGCTTTCAACATATATCTTAAGCACACTAGTGAATCCAATATGTTTGTGACGAACTTGGAGAAAGCTTCTTCATTATAAGTAGTTCACTTCTTGTTCACCAAACATCTTTGTAAAATTTGAAAGTGACTAATCACTTTGTTTCTATATTAGGATTGCAAGCCATATGAAGATGCATGTACGATTAGATCGGTGATGAACATGGATTACATATATATCATGATTGAGGTTTTTGCCAAAAGTTTGATACCTTTTTATTTGAGATTTTTCTATATCTGCCTCATTTCATATACGAAATGAATATATAATTTTCAAAAGGATGTTTTTGTGTTTTTGCAAATATATATATAATTTTATGTTTTCATAAAAGATAATAATTAATTAGAAACGTTTAAAGTAAAACAATATTTGAGGAGACAAGTGACTTTTTTGTTCGTTGGAAACGTGATTATGAGTAGCAAAAGCTTAAGTGAAGTCAAAATCAACATTGACCATATTTTCTTTATCTTAAATTATCATTGACCATATATAACCAATCAAACCAAATGGTAGAATCTAATTATATTATATTATTATATCTTCATATATATATATATATATATATATATATGAAGATATAATAATATAATATAATTAGATTCTACCATTTAGTTTGAATGGTTTCCAACCAAGCTTATAGATTTTAAAAATGTCATCCAAAGAAAGACAACCCTATAAGGCAAACCTCATATTTGACACAAAGACATCCAATTCACCTTTCTTATACACTTCATTTTGTTCAAAATTTTCAACTCTTCACCAATGTGGGATATCTCAAACTCAACCACAATTCACCAACACCTCAATAYTYAATTCWHATGATGCCACCTCAATACTCTTGGTTCTTCCTTTAATATATATATATATATATATATATAGATTATCATTATTGGAATTTTTCAAAGTCTCTTTCTACTGAAAAATTTGTTTCTAAAATACATATTTTGAAATTGGTTTCGAATATATATATATATATATATATATATATTGAAATTGGTTTCACTTGAAAGTATGGTATGAATATATTCTTATAAAGGAAGGTAATAAAATTGGTTTCGAATATATATATGTATATATATATATATATTGAAATTGATTTCACTTGAAAGTATGGTATGAATATATTCTTATAAAGGAAGGTAATAATGTACATATACATTAAGAGATTGTTTTGGTGAATAACTCAACTTACATACGTTTTAAGGACCTCTTGTGAGATTTAAAGAAGATAGGAAAAAACAGTAGAGATTAGAGAAAATTAAAGACATAAAAGAGAAAGAGAATATCCAAAAAAAAGGTCTCAGCTTTAAAACTAAACAAGTCAAATGAGATACATACTATTACCAAAAAAGAGCATATAAAAACTTTTTGAAATTAATATTCCATACAAATGGAATCCTCTTCATTCATTCATCCATTCCTCATTAACTAACTATGTGATGTTCAAATCCCCTCTCCCACAGCACATAATTCATATTAAGAATTAAATTTCCTACCATATTAATTATCATATATATATATATATATATATATATATATATAGTTAATAACTTCAATTCAGCCCTAAACCATACTCCAAGAAATTGAAAAACCAAGGAAATTAAGATTTATGATGCTCTAATTTGGATCTTGAGGTGGATTGATGGAGATAGAGTTGCAACATGTGTTCTTGGCAAGATTTTGCTTGTTGTTATGCATCCAAACCTTCAGAACTCTCCTTTTGATCCCAATTTCTTGACAGAAATCCTGAATCATTGATTCCTCTTGCTTTTGCATCTTCCACCCAATTTTGTCTGCAAAAACCAGCATCTTCTCCTTCTGTTCATGTGTAAATTTGGTCCTGAACCTCTTCTTCACAGCCATATGCGGTGCCGGTGCCGCTCCCGCTGCTAGTGGATGTCTGCTCATAAATCCACCACCGTCTTCTTGGTAATCAGATTCTGATGGGAAGGACCCCATTGCCATATTGTATGACATTATCTTTGGTGGTGGTCCTTTAATGGATGGTACAAGTGCTCCTGCATTATTGTGGTTGTACCCAAAAGATTCTGTTCCCAGAAAACCCTTTGGGTGGATGGCATTTCTGCCGTTTCCAAGCTCAAACCTTTTGAGATGTGGAGGGGCAGTGAGGTAATTACTGCAGTCGTAGGAGGTGGTGCGAATGGGGTGGTGGTGGTGGTGGTGATGGCCGTCGTCGATCTCTTTCCGGTGGAAGTTTCTGTGGCAGTTGCAGACTGAACAAGTGAGAGCTTCAAGGGTACCTTCTTCACCACAAGCCATGAATTCACCACACCCATCTGTTGCTTTTCCTCCCATGGCGGCTGCATGGTTTTTCAGGCATTCTTTATACCGTACAACCACCGCCATCTTCTTGCTGATGTCCTCCATGGATGTGGCGGAGGGTGGTGGTTGCTGCTGCTGGTGGTGCTGGAGTGATAATGGGAGAATGTGATCATGATGAATCAGTTGCCCATCTCCGTATGTGCTACTGATTGGAAGAGCCATCTCTCCTTCTTCTTCTACTTCTTCTTCTGGTGGAAATTCCATTTTTGCCCTTGTTCTTGGGTTGATGATCACCCTGCAACTTCAAGCATTCAAAAATGGAGAATTTTGGAGGTGGGTTTTTGGTAAACAATAGTTTATGGCAGAAAATGAAGGCTGAAATAGGCAAAGGGATGTGAGATAAAAATAAAAAGGGAAAAGGTGATTGCTTTGCTTGCACTATCAGGCATCAAGCTTATTAGCTTTGTTTTCCACACCTAAAATTGTTAAATACATACTCTATTACACTCTTTGTTGACTAATGTACAAGTTTTTTAAGCGTCGCTGCTCTCAAGTCGGAGATTATTGGTCTGGTAATACGTTTTCTACAATGGCATTAACTATTCTTACGTACAGAGTTTTGACCTTTTTTTAAATAAAATAAAAATCCCTGTGTGTTTAAAATTTGGGTTTTATTCGATTCTATTAATTATATAAACATATGAGAGACAAGATCTCTATACATTCTCTAAAAGAGAATAAAAAGTCAAAAATTTTAATAGATATTTTATTTTAAAAATTACATAATTAATTATATTATTAAAATATTTAATATAATTCAAAAAATATTATCTCTCTCTTTTAAATATTTAATTTTAAGTAATCTTATTAATTTAAAAAAACAATTCTCTTCTCAGAAATAGTTATTTTTGGAGAAATATTCAAATTTAGAGAATTTCATTCTTTCGTACTTTTTTCATTTTGAAGAATCTGTTGGAGCAAAATCTCCACTTTAGAGAATCTGTTGGATATAATATGAGTACGAATTAGATCAAATTATATTAAATAAAGATCAGATATGTATTTATGTGATTGATGAGACAAACATGGGACGTGAAATTTTAGGAGATCAAGTTTTTTATTCGTTAAAAACACAATCATTTATTAGTTAAAAAAGAAGTATTTATAATCATATTCATTTTGGAGAGTCAACTAACAGAATACTTATAAGAAATTTGTATTTTGTGAAAAAGTTTGGAATTAATTTGTATTTTGTGAAAAAGTTTGGAATTAAGAAGATCTGGAATTTCTTATATGTTTGATTTGTATAATTTGAAACAGAATTGAATTTCATTTCTATAGATAATCTATATAGAAACAAATAATTATAGTATCTTTTCATAACTGGATATTATAATACAAATGTTTTTAACATATTTAAAACAATATTAAAAAACAAATTAATCCTAAGAAATAATGTGAAATACCAACCACCTCATTAAAATTTATAAATCCACTTATGTAATCAAAATCTAAAAAATTTAATTCCGAACTTTCTTTTATGTGTCGTATTAGGATTCTCGACGTTTGACATAAATGATGTCGTATAGGTAGTATGTCAGCCTGTGTGTACGGCTGTCTGACTCGATAATCAGATATTTGTGATAGTACAATTATACTAATCCATAGTATTATTGCGCTGTTGGGAAATACTATGATACCTTTTTAATGGATCATTTATCTTTGCCTTAACAGACCTTTGCACCATATGTTTCTTTTTAGAACTGATATTTTAGCTGATAATTAACTCACTCAAGGTTTAGATAAAACAAATCTTTCGATTCACCATCTAAAGTTAGTTTTTTAAGATTTAACTTTTTAAGAAAGTTTTTGTGCTTAATCTTTTATGTGGAAACGATATCTTGTACTTAATACCATTATTACTTGTTACAAAACAATAAAGTGTATACTTTCATTGAGTTTTATTTTTATATTGAAATTAAGGTTGAATAAATATTACAAGAATGACGTTGAAGCTTTCTTCTGCTCTTACTTTGGCATGTGTGAGTTTTCTTGAAAGTTAGAAAATTGGAACTACTTTGGCATGTGTGAGTTCCCTCCAACTTAGAAGATAACCTTTGAAGTGAAAACCTTGATTAATTGTATTGCTATTGTTAATGGAATAGGTGGAAAATTATAAGTTGAAACAATGAAGTCATCATGATGTCATTAGATTAGTTGAAGAAATCGATGACAAAGATATATTGATGTCTGACAATAAATTACAACAGTTCAAAGTCAGATTCAACTTGAAGAAATTAGCAAGGATTGTGTTGGTCCCAGCCGGATCTATAAGAGTTTATAGGTAAAAGTTTGTAGAAGGGGGAGATGAATACAAACACAACAACTTTCACTTTTAAAAACTCTTTATTGATAAAGAAGATCAATACAGAATTTAGATTGTTTGTAGAAAAGATAAAATACATAACTTAGCTAAACAATTAAAAATACACACAAGTTACAGAAAACAAGGAAAAAAAAAGACTTGCTAAAAAATAGGTTAAGAAGGTCTTGTGCTCTTCACTTGTTAGAGTGGATGTCTTTCTTTAAGATAGAAAGTTAGAGGGAGGAATATCTTCTTGGGTAAAAAGATCTTCAAGGCAAGGAAGCTTGGCTTGGATTGAGATTTGGAAGACTTGCTGAGAAGGAGGAGCTTCTCAACTATTTATACCCACTGCATTAAATGCAAGTCAGAAGGTACAAAGCATGTGGCAAGCTTGAAGATGTGAGCTTGTCCTTTGTTGCAGATAAACAGGATTTAGTCATATATGAACAACGTCTTTCACAAAGTAGGTAAGAATGGTTGGAGACAGTAGAATGACTCTGTATAATACTTTACTTTGAGGTATGTGTTTGTCCTTTATGTGTAAAAGGACAAGACAAAAACTAATCTTGTTCAACAAGATCTATTTGATCGTTGACACTGGAATAAAGATGAGGTTTCTTTAGTGTTCGTTGAATCTTGAGTAAATTTCACACTTATGTAGATAGGCTTGTTATCACTAAAAAACCGCATAAGATCACAAACTTGTTTGTCTTTGTCTTCAGCTTTATCTATGATATCGCTAAAGGTTCTATGGTTTGAGTTTTGTCTTCCTGAACAATACTTGTCTTTGAGAGAATTACAATAAATGTTCAGCGATCACTGAACAGACTCAATGATGATCGTTGAAGCCGAATACAAAGATAGTACACTTCGTAAGATAAAAAGGATCATCATCAAATCACTAAGAGAGAGGATCAACAATATTCCCCTATTTGATTATGAAAGAAAATTGCTTAGGTATTACAGTAAGAAAAAGGTACTAGTGAAATTACTTATCTCATTTAACTGTTTTGGGATCTTTTTCAGTGATACAGTTTACTATGGAAATTTACTTTAATTGTAATAGATTACATGGAAAGAATAAACTTACATAGTATTAATAATTGAATACTGAAAGCATATTCACTAACTAGAAAGGTGTCAGCGAATGTAACAAATCAATATAACTTATATGTACTTGTCCCATTTACTCTTTTCAGGGATCTTTTTCAGTGAACCAATCATTTTATTTAAATACTTTACAAGGGGAAATATTACAACTAATTACAGTCGGTTTTAGTAGGATTAAAACATAAAAGCTATACACTGAAAGAAAAAAATAAAGAAATACAAGATTTATAAGACTGAAAGGTTGACTAATCTAGATTGTTGAAGTTGATGTAATCCGGAACATCTTCTTCCTGTATCTTTCGTCTGAGCATTTCCTTCCAAATCCTACGGTCCATCATCTCTCCACATAGATCATCATTCAGCCAAGTTCTTAGATATTCTAAGTGATCTATAGGGAAGAAATGGAACTCTAATACTCGCTGAAACCTATATTGACCATCCTAGTCAATGAACATAAGTCCATATTCAGGTTTCACATGTAATGTGTTGGGTATATAAAGACCCTTCTTAGGCAGTGACAGATTCAGTATTGAGATATCTGGCTTCTTTCTATCCTTGAAGAGTTCATCTAATGAGAATTTTGTCTCATGTTCATTTTGGTTGGATGGACCTTCTTCAGGATCAGAAAGGTTCCTTCTTCGAGAGAGCTTATGTGGTAGAGGAGGAACCTCGATGGTCTTCGACACCTTATTTAATAATTCATTTAGAACTTCTTCAATGCAAGGCTTATGCTTGGATTTGGACTTTTGGATAGCCTGTCGAATCTCGAGCCATTCATAAAAACCATACTGATTGGGGATCGAGGGATACTAAGTGAAAACATTGTTGTTCTCTCAAAAAATGACCATTGAAATAAGTTAAGCACCATCTTTCATTCGACCACTAATAGTGATGTTTAAGATATTGTATGGGATCATCCTTGTTTTGATCCTTCTCTCACAAGTTGAGGTTACGATCCTTCAGCTTTAGCACCCATTGGCATTATCGTTCAGCTTCTGCTAAGAGTTGGGCTTGAGCACTGAGCAAATCTTTCCTCTTGAATTTCCCTTCAGCAAGTGCTTGATCAGCTTGAGTCTTGGCTAACTCCAAGTTGTCTTTAAGTTATTGCTAATGTTTCTTCAGCTCTTGTTCAGTGCGTAGGGATTTTTCACATTCAGCTTCTGAAACAAAGTGAAACTCACCACATCCAGAGGTACGAAGAGGAATATTTACTCTGGATTGGTCTAGTTGACTTATAAGTTGAGCTATCCTTAGGTATTCTTCAACCTCTGAATAAATAGGTTGTCTAGACGACTTCCTGAGTATTAGGTTGTAAGCTTCATCTTCATCTTCCTCTTGGGTTCCAAAAGATGGGATATAGGTTGAGAGACAGAGAGGGATTGTTATAGAGAGATATAGAGGGATAGGGATAGAAGGTTTAGTTTTGAGGAAAAAGGTACAAACCTAGAAGTGTCTGCATCTTCAGATTAACTACTGCCCCAATAACTAAGGTGAGGTTGTCTTCAGCGACTCCTTTTCCTTTGCCTGAGGAGTGTTGGTTCCCTGATGATCTCTCCCCTTGGGAAGCAGGTACCCTGAAGGAGATTCCTTTCGCTGGTTGTCTTGGTATGATGTGGACGTAGAAATCATCATCATCATCATCATTATCACCAAGATCAGTACCTGCATCCGAAATTTGAGGTTCAGAATCCTCATCATCATCCTCATCACCAGTATTCGAAAATGCAGAGGTGGAAGGATGAAGGTCTTCATGTCAGCAGCAGTAATCACGACATCGTCATCATCAATGGCATCATCATCATTGATGGCTTTAGGGATATTCTCCCAAGCATCTTTAGCAACCATATTTTCTCTATCGTTATTCTCTCCATCTGTATCCTTCTTCAGATACTTCTCCCCCTCTTTGGCATCATCAACATTAAAATTTGCGAGAGGGAGGAGAGAGACAAGGTCTTGCAGCTTTTGCTCGATGGAGACAATTGCATATGCTTAATGAAGGTTAAATTCAGCGACACTGTCCAGCTGTGAAGGTGAGTTTAGGGACAGGTGTTGGTTGCTGAAGAAGTTGGAAAATCCATTCAAGGAGCTCACCATGCCTGGTAAGCTGAGCCTGAACATCTTCAGCTTTGCTGGAGAGTGCAGTGACAACTTCAGAATTTTGCTGGACTTCCATCTTCATGGCGTTCAGAGTTTCTTTGACTTCACGCACCTCAGCTTGGATAACAGAGAGGCCATGAGTCAGATCATCCTTTGATCCTTGGTGCACTTCATCCATCTTTGTCAAGGACGGTTGCGATGGCGGGGAGCAGCAGCTTGACATCCCAGCCATGTCATAGGTGTCAGTCTTGGTGATTGGGGGTTCATTCTTCAAAGGACCTTTAAAAGAAGGACAGAGAAATGGAATCGTATACACGATTTTTGTTAGAAAGCATTTTAGGAATAAAGTGTGAAGGATAAACTTTCTTTTGAAAAACTAGAAGAAATTAACGTTTTCAAGAAGATTAGGGTTTTAGAAATGTGGTTAAAATAAATCAAGAAGAAGAATGAGTTACAAAACCTATTGTTTGTAGTTAAAAGGAAGAAAGAAGTTTTTAAATAACAAACAAGTTTCTTAAAGATTAACAGCCAAAACAAAGAATAACAAACATGTTTCTTGAAATAAGGAGAATAAAATTGGTTTGAAGGTTTTCTGGGAGTTCTTACTTGTACAAAATATATAGAGAAAGTATTTGTGTTCACGTAAGGGGAAATGAGAGGGCAAGAGATATATATATATATATATATATATATATATATATATAGGTGAGATGAGAGAGAAAGAGAAGAAAGGAAAATGACGCTTCAAAAAGATGTCCAATGATGAATTTCTTTGCACGTCATTTTAAGGTGACTGGGTAGAAAAGAAATGGACAAACATGTGTAAGAAGGATGCGCATAAACTAGTCCATGAATTAAAATTTTTTTAATGACATCATAAAAATATGACTGTTTATTATTCTTTTTCTTTTAAAACAAAGGATCACTGAATAAAGGAAGATCTCAGTGATAGTTTTAAGTTTCTTTTAAAACAAAAGATCATTGAATAAGGAGGGAATTCAGTGATAGTTTTAAGTTTCAAGAAAAGAAAAATATACCTTAAGAGAAAGATACATTTACTTAAGAGTTCAGTGATAGATAAGAAAACACTGAAACATCTCTTTTAAAACATTTTAATCACTGAATAAGAAAAGTGTTCAGTGAGAGCTTTAAGTTTTAAGAAAAGAAGAGAAGTAGACATACCTTAGAGAGAAAGATAAATTTACTCAAGAGTTTCGTGATAGATTAAAAACACTGATTCATTTCACTATTTATCACTGAGTATTGCTTAGAGCTGAAAGAATTAATCCTCCACGTTCAGCATTACAAGTTTGCCAATTAAAATATTAAATCTTGTTTCATCAAGAGGCTTTGTAAATAGATAAGCTAATTGGTACTCAGTGGGTACGAAGTGGAGTTCAATATTACCATTCATAACATGATATCCAATAAAATGATATCTGATCTCAATATGTTTGGTCTTAGAGTGAAGTACAGGGTTATTTGCAATTGCAATGGCACTGGTGCTATCGCAATAGATAGGGATCTTAGAGAGCTGAAGATCATAGTCACTGAGCTGATTTTTCAGCCAAAGGATTTGGGCACAACAGCTTCCAGCGGCCACATAGTCAGCTTTAGTAGTTAATGTGGACACAAAGTTTTGCTTTTTACTTGTCCAGCTCACGAACTTTCCACCAAGAAGCTGACATGTTGGAATCAATTGATCCTAATTATTCTAAAAAGTTTTATTAAGCAATCGGGGCTAAGGATGGAATATCTGAAGATGTTGCTGTGCTAAAACGACTAAGTCTGGAAGAAGACCAAAGCCCCTATGGATGACCAGAGCCTCTGGT